ACGTTCGTCGCCATCCCTGGTGGCCCGTGGCCCTGCTCTTTGTCCCTGCACAGACGTTCGTCGGGATGAGCCGCTGGGCCCGAGCCCCCAACACCAGACGTTCGTCCATCCTCAAGGGGCATGGGCCTGTGGGCTGGCCTGGTGCTCTAACTGGACGTGCGTCTGGCAATATGGGTTAGTGGGCCGGACCTCGGCTTGGGCCCTTAACCCAACAATTATAATGATAATTATTAACAATAATAGTAAAAACATTAACAAATGATATAGGAACACAAACGAATCCTTTTTCAGATGAAGAGCGAATTTGCAATAGTTTAGGAGCTTACTTTTGTGACTTTTTGGATAAATGTTGTTAGTAAACTTCACACTATTATGTTTGGACCATATCTCTGAATACTTAAATGCTTAAAAAATTGCTGAAATTAAATAAATTAATAAAATATCTAGAAAGTAGTCTATTTTACATTATTTAGAAACCGATGCATTTGATAATATATTGATATAGGAACTAGCTATAACTGTCTTGTTTTGACTACGAACCTCCCTTCAAGATAGCATCTTTAAGGGCTCCGCCACCTGAATCCCTCCAACTCTTTCACCATGATATGTAGCTACTTATCCATTGTCACGTTAATGAGACCCTTGATGCCTCATAGTTTGGCGAGTGACAAGAGAATCTGAAAAATCCTAGATAACCTAATATAAAAATAAAATCAAACTCATTTAATTTTAGATGCAAAAACTGTTCACAAACTTTCATTCCTAGAAATATTAAATACTTTTATAGTGTTCGGTACATGTTTGTGGTTTACATGATCCGATATTCGTAATTTAATACCACATGAGTTCATGAACCATTCGTCCATAATGCAAGTAATTGTAGTTATATAGAGATTACGTAACTTACTTCCACCATAAGATTCTAATCATCTGTAGGTTGTGCTTCCTGATGTATGCTCACAGTTGCTTCACGATCTGGTTTGAAAAAGAAGGACGAATTAGTACTTATAACTCTAATCAATGTTTACCTTCAAATGAGGACCTAACCTCGGTTCTAGGGAGTGTCAATTGGCCAACAACATCCTCAGGTTTTGGTATTACACTGCAGACTTTGTTCAACCCACCATATCTTGTCCTCCGTAATTTTTTACTATGACATTGTCATTAGTTTGCTTTCAATAAGGGAATTATATGTGAGATACAAATTCTAAAATCTAAACAAGATGATGTTATAATGTTCTTGGCAATATATTCTCAAACTTTGAGGAGCTGAGTGATCACAATTTAATAATATGAATTTCACAACTCTTAGATCTATATGTCAAAATGATCTAGAACAACACTACCTAAGGCCTCAAGGTGACCACATTAAGTATAATTTGAGGATGCCACCACTTGGCCGGAGTACAAAGGCTCTCCACGGATGCTGGCAGAGATCGACGAAGCCCGTAGTGATTGAATTTATTTTAAAATTTCTTTTATCGAAATGAAATTGAACGAGTAATGTGTTATGATCATATTTCAGTATTTGAAATATGGTTCCTTTTTTTATTACATAAAACAAGTTTTTTTTTTATTTCCATTGGAGAAAATCTTCTAGGAAGATATGTGTTTTTTCAAACTTTATCAATTTAGATATAACTAGGGGTGCAAACGAGTTGAGCCTAGCTCGAATATGGGTATGTTTGAGCTTGAGCTTTATAAGAGTGCACATGCTCGAGCTTGAACTAGCTTAAATAATATTAGCTCAAACTCGAGCCGAGCTCGTTTCGAACTCGAGCAGAGCTCGCTTTGAACTTGAGACGAGTTTTGCTAATTAATATTTATAGGTTTGAAATCAAATAAGATGCTTGATCTTGAGCTTGAATTCGAGCTAAGATAAATTATATTTTCAAAATTATTAATATTACATATATTCATACAAATAAATAAATAAAATCTAGTATTTGTACTTTGTTGTTCTTATTTTTGAGTTCCTCTCAGCTTCAATGACATTTTACTCTCAATTAAATTTTAAAAGATATAATAATATATAAGTGACAAGAAAGAAAGAAAGAAATAAATATAAGGCATGTGTACATAATATCATACGGAGTATTTATTTATTTATTTATTTATTTATTTATTTTTATTTATTTATTTATTTATTTATTTATTTATTTATTTTTTTATTTATTTTTTTAATTTATTTATTTATTTATTTATTTTTTATTTATTTATTTATTTATTTATTTATTTATTTATTTATTTATTTATTTATTTATTTATTTATTTATTTATTTATTTATTTATTTATTTATTTATTTATTTATTTATTTATTTATTTATTTATTTATTTATTTATTTATTTATTTATTTTTTTAATTTATTTATTTATTTATTTATTTTTTATTTATTTATTTATTTATTTATTTATTTATTTATTTATTTATTTATTTATTTATTTATTTATTTATTTATTTATTTATTTATTTATTTATTTATTTATTTATTTATTTATTTATTTATTTATTTATTTATTTATTTATTTATTTATTTATTTATTTATTTATTTATTTATTTATTTATTTATTTATTTATTTATTTATTTATTTATTTATTTATTTATTTATTTATTTATTTATTTATTTATTTATTTATTTATTTATTTATTTATTTATTCATTCATTCATTCACTCACTCACTCACTCACTCATTCATTCATTCATTTATTTATTTATTTATTTATTTATTTATTTATTTATTTATTTATTTATTTATTTATTTATTTATTTATTTATTTATTTATTTATTTATTTATTTATTTATTTATTTATTTATTTATTTGTTCATATATAAATATATTACGATTTCCGAGCTCACGAGCAATTTCGACTCAAGAAATTGAGCTCAAGCCTGACTCGTTTGCTTAACGAGACGCCTCAAGTTCGGCTCACATGAGGGCCATCTACGGTCATTGTGAGGCCCTAGACGAATATAGACATTTCGTTGAATATGTTTCATTAAGCATAATTATTCAAACACGGTATTCATACTCTTGTTGTCAACAATATTGGAGGGAGAAGATATTGTGCTTACGTACCCACCTATAGCGCAACAAGTTGGTTTTAATCAAGTCCTTTTCTTAATTTGTTCTTTCTATTTGTACATCATTATTGATGTTTTCATCTTACCATAATAAAGAAACTACAATTTTATTCAAAATAATAATAAAGAAATGGTTCATAAAGACAAGTTTAATGGACATATAAAAGATTTTAAGCAGGGACGGATCTATAGGTAAACCAAGGGGGGAAATTGCCCCTCCCAACTTTTTATTTTTTTACTAGTAGTATTAGTTACGTATACGTAGTACTTGGTATTTTATTTTTTGTCCACCCACCAAACATTTTATTTATGATTGTGTGATGTGCAATTGAACGGTTCACGGTTGGCTTGAAGCTCTATTAAAATCATTGAAATTTAAAGTTCAACCCAAGAATAAATAAAAACAATAAGTATGAATACTTGTGAATTGTTGCCTATCCCGCCCATTTGTGTTGCCGGCTTAGAATAACAGAAGGCGTGGGCGAAAGTAGCAATGAGCTCAAGTCTGGAGCATTTTCCATGGATTGAGCATGACAAATATCAATTCTTATTCAACGCTTAAGAGCATTTTGACTTTTATAATCTATTAATGTAAAAATATTAACCCTTACTAATTATTTAAGAATCAAAGTAATTTAAGTATTCTGACTTTTTCATCTATTAGATTTAATTTTTAGATATGTGATTGTTTTTTCTAAATCATATTTTAGAGTCCGGGTATTGAACCGGTAGAGCACTAGCTTTCACGACATGCAAGCACCATTTCTAAATTTTAATAGGCATGACGTTTACTCATGTATTTTTGGAGGTTTTAATTAGTACATTTTTCAACTTTGCCAGCAAGTATAAATGTATAATTGCTACAGTTGATACTACATAGTTATTTAATGTTTATTCATGTGTATTTTATATGTTATTATTTAATTTTTTTAATTTCACCCGCCCCCTCTTGATCACATCCTGGCTCCGTCTCTGGTTTTAAGTATTCAATATTTCAATGAATCACAAAGATTTCAATTGTTCAATATTTCAATGAATCAGAATCACAAATCACAAGTTCATTATATAAAGAATTCCAAATTATAAGTATTGATGTATTAATTAATTTATTGTAATATTAAAAAAACACTAGGCCCTAGTGCTCAGTACTGTAATCGACTAACAATGAAAAAATAAAAACAAATACTAAAAGATGAGAAAAGTATGGAAAAAGTACTTGTGGTTGGACCCCCTTTTAGATATGGTCATGTGTTTCATTTTTTTTTAATAAAGTCGGGCATGCGTTTAAATTTTGTTATCATAGGAGGGTCCTGACGTCTAACGCCGTTAAAAACGTTGAATGAAGACGATGAACAATAACCCCGATTTTCAAAACTGCCCGAAAAGTAAAAGAAAAATAATGGGAGTTGCACCTCATCAAACCGACCTATCGACCTCCAAACGATCTTCATCTTCGAATTTTTCGGATTTGTTTGGATTCTTTTTAAAAATGAATTTGCTAATATCACTTTTCAGATGAGTTTTCCGGTGACAAAGTGGCCAGAAACAAAAAAGAAAGATGACATAGAGGTTGTCTTGTTGATGCGCACCTCCCAATAGTTTCTTTTTAATTTTCCGGGCACTTTGAAAAATTGTAGTTATTGCTCATCATCTTCATCCAACGATTTCTAACGACATTAGAGGTGAGGACCCCATGCGATAACGTAATTTAAACACATGATCATTTTGTTAAAAAATGAAACACATGAATAATCTAATCACATGTACATTTTCTCTACTTTTTTATGTAAATAATACGGAGTAATAAAATAAGTAACCCGAAATAAAGTCATCAATTAATGAAATTGTTAAAAGACCTCGATTTTACAAAGGGGGTGATGAGTGATATATTCTTGTAACTGGATTGGAGTACAATTTTACGTAGAGAGAAACGATGTGGAGGTCATCAATGATCAAACGGTCACAAGAGCGAGAAGTAGGGAATTTCTCTCACCTCTTCTCTCTGAATATATGTGAGGCTTAGCCCCTTTTATCTGGCTTTCTTTCCAACTTCGCGTGTATTTCCCGAACCCCAGACATCGAAGAAAGCACAAGAATCGAACCACTTCTTCTAACCCCTCTTCCCTCCCATCTACCAAGAGAAACCAGGAGTGATTAATCGAGTGTGATAAACCCAAGCAACCCGATTGATTGCTCCCATTGTTTCTGAAATCGTATATGTTGTATTTAGTCTGAACGCTCTTAACTGAGATCTTGTCCTTCCTACAATGTTCTTCGCCTTGTAGCGGACAAGGTATATAAAATCAATGCAAATCAAATTTTTCGTTTCAGTTTCAGCTAAGTTTCATGACCATGTATATCTCCGGATTTAATTGTTTTTTTTTTTGAGTAAAAATTGAGTTTTTTTTCCGGAAAAGTGTTGAAGCTTCACTTTGATTCCTTTACTCTTTACTCTCTCATTATTTTGCAAATTAGGGTTTCAGTACTTTGTTTTTGGTTCCTATATCTGCGTACTGCAGGATTCCTGCTTATCTGGCTCTTTGCTGGATTTTCTTTGTTTTAGGGTTCTTCAATCGGATCACAATTTCTTACTGAGCTAGGGTTTTGTTCAGCAATTCACACTTTCCCATTTTTCTGAGATAGTTGGGTGGTGCATAGTTGGTTTTCATCACTCACAATTTCACTGGCAGATCGCCCTATTAATGAGAGTGTGTTGTGCCCCTACTGGCATTCAAGCAAAAAATTAGTGTGGATTCCATTCTTCTGGATGCTCATAAGTGAATAATACTAGTATTATCTTGTGCTTGTTTTGAAAGGGCATGGAAGAGGATTGTAGGTACAAGTAAAATTGTCTAGAGGGGAGTGGACTAGTGGAGAGAAAAGGAAAAAAAAAGCTGAGAACACTTTCAAGTCTTTCTAGGTAAAAGATTAAAAAAATCACTTTTGGACATTTTCATCTGAAGAAATCTTTTGGATTGACACAGTTTTTATGGATGCTTGTGCTCTATATAGCAGTGGATTATAGTGCTTTATCTACTCTTGTTGGTGAGTGCCACTGGAGTGTCGTTTTTCCATTGAGCTTTCAACAATATTGTTGGAACTTCTTGTGCATCTGGAGTGTAACATAGTCGAACAGAGCTCTGGAAAGGAATGTGGGGTCATGGTGCATGGACAAGAATATAGTTGCTGCTGTGTTCCCTCACTGGAGCATTGTTGTAAGAAAGTAATTGGAGGATACTGTTTTTCGCACGGAACCATTTTTGCTGCTTGTAAAATTCTGGGCGATGTCTCGCTGCTTTCCTTTTCCACCACCGGGATATGAAAAGAAACCCAATTCAGATGATGCATTGTTGCCAAAAGAGGTTTGTAATACAATTATCAATTTGGCAATACCTCTCACTTGCATGGCTCTGTGAACTTATAATATTATTACAATCAGAGGGCCATGTTTGGACAGTTCGGCAAATTCGTTTGAGCTACAAAGCAAATTTTGAAAAGCTTTCTGTCAATATGTTTGACCTCATTCCTTAAAAAATATGTTTGACCTCAAGGAAGATATGGTTCCTTATTCTTTTATGGATTGATTTTTCATACCTGTGTTGGATTCACGTTGTTCCAACTTTGATTGGAAATGGCCAATGTGTTTGCAACACTTTCTGCGGTGTTGCTAATATAGGCTTATTTTTGTGCACAATGAAAAGGTTACAAACTGCACACTCAGTAAAATTCGAATATGCAACACTAATCTTTGCTAGAAAATATCTAAAAGTTTTAGCAAAGCATGATTATAATATCATCACACAGTTATATAGCTAGTATATGTTAATATGTATGTTAGGATTTGGATGTGATAAATCATAAATGTGGTGACAAGCTGACAACATTATGGAACTGTGATTTCGCAGTTACCTAGCATTCTGGATTCGATCGTCATTTCTCAGTAGTATAATTGTGTCCTTCGAGAATAAATGGTTTTTAATAAATTTGGAAACCAGAAGTCGCTTTTTTGGATTTTGAGGCATTTGTCTACTAGATATGAAGTATTGAAATGGTTCTAATTTTGCATTTGTTTGGTAAGATAGAGTAATCGAATTTGACTGCTGGCTAATGATCGTGTTAATTCACATAATGGTCGGATTTGTTTTTGGTTGGACAATAGTTTGAGCTGAATGAAGAAGTTGCTTAGCTTCACGTTTGGACACCATGCATTATAATTGAGTGATGCAGGCCTGATTATGTGCTATAGATTAGGCAGCCATTGTCGGCCTTTTGCTTTTGTGTCCAAATTTAGATTTTAGGTTCATGCCATAGAATTGAAAGAATGACCTGCATTGTTAGTGATTGGTTGGACAATAGTTTGAGCTGAATGAAGAAGTTGCTTAGCTTCACGTTTGGACACCATGCATTATAATTGAGTGATGCAGGCCTGATTATGTGCTAAAGATTAGGCAGCCATTGTCGGCCTTTTGCTTTTGTGTCCAAATTTAGATTTTAGATTCATGCCATAGAATTGAAAGAATGACCTGCATTGTTAGTGATTGTCCTAGGTAAAAACACGTAGTATTTGATATTCCTGATTTCAAACATAGAACAAATGACTTTTATTGCAGAGTCAACTTTTCCAAACCCTAGAGGAATGCCTTTGTCCTAAAATTATTTTTCTCCTATTAAGTGTTAATGTTTCCTTTCAATTGTATGAGAATTTGTTGACATTTTCTTCATTTTTCAATGCATCTATCTCATCCAGTTTATTTCCATCATTTGCAATGGAGCCAAAGATTACTATTTTTTGGCTTGAGAATAAGATGGAATAAAGCAAAAGGGGTAAGACTGCGTACATCCGACCCCCCTACCCCACCGTAGGTGGGAGCCTTTGCGGCACTGGGGTTATGATGATGATGAATGATCTATCTCATCAAGTTTATGCAATTAGGTTTCTATTTGGCATTGTTACCCACTAGACATCTCACAACATTTGAGCTGGGTATGCCAAACTAAAGTGAATTGAACAACTTTCAGTCTGCCAGGGAAACAAGAAGTGGATTGCTAATTTGGTTAAGCTATTTTGTTTCTAATCCAAATAGATTGATACAACATTTACGCCCATAATATTACACTTGTGAGGTCTGCATAGCACACACGGATTATAACATTTCAGGCTCTCAGCAATATTTTTTTAAAAAATAAAGTAGGGATTGAAAATCCTATTGGGTGCAATTTATCCATGTGCTTTCGTGAGCCCTTGCTAAAGTTTCAATCAATTCCTGGCAATAGCCATGCCAAGAAATTAAGAATATAAATTCAGTACCCACTAGACATCTCACAACATTTGAGCTGGGTATGCCAAACTAAAGTGAATTGAACAACTTTCAGTCGGCCAGGGAAACAAGAAGTGGATTGCTAATTTGGTTAAGCTATTTTGTTTCTAATCCAAATAGATTGATACAACATTTACGCCCATAATATTACACTTGTGAGGTCTGCATAGCACATACGGATTATAACATTTCAGGCTCTCAGCAATATTTTTTTAAAAAAATAAGTAGGGATTGAAAATCCTATTGGGTGCAATTTATCCATGTGCTTTCGTGAGCCCTTGCTAAAGTTTCAATCAATTCCTGGCAATAGCCATGCCAAGAAATTAAGAATATAAATTCAGTACCAACGGTTCCCCATAAAATAGTTGGGGTCGGTTGCCTACCAGTACCAGTGAGAACTACATATAAGAATATGACAGTTGACACAGGCATTTTCTTGGTTGTGTGTGGGGGAGCAGGATACTGCTAGTGTTATAAAATTTTGCTTGATGTGCATTGTTAAATAACGGAAGCTGTAACTGAGAAACTTCTAGGGATAAGAGTGTTGGAGATATATGAGTATATGACAAAGAACTCATAAAGATGCCCAGACTTAATATAGGAATTTTGTCACATGCTTTAATGCTGCATATTTCCTTCTATGGTCCTTTGTTTATTGGTTTAGATATCCTACTGTGAAATGAAGTGCATAGTTTGTTTGTGCATTTGTGCTTTCATTTTGTATTTTAAAATGCTGAATATTTCTTATATATCCTTGAGAGAAGAGTAATCCTATTCAACTATGGAAAAGTGGACATAAACATCTTATTAGGTGTTTAATTGTCTAAAGACTTGAAGTTTCAATCTTAAAGGTTAGTGTGATAGGAAGTAGACTTTTATTGTTCCATACAAAGTCTTTTACACGTTTCCTCACCTCAAAGTGGGCTTAACAACATGAGGATAGATAAACGAGTCAAACAAACTCTAAACAGGCTAGTTTGATCATGAGTGCTGAATGCTGATAGGAAGAGTAATCTATCTTAAAAGATTGACTTGATAGGAAGAGTAATCACTGATCGTATATATTAATCTTCTAAGTCGGTGTGAGATATATACTTCAACATGTTGTTTAGTTATGCATCCTTCTTACAAAGAAGGTAACGGTGCGGCCATGAAGACAAATGATGCCAAACCTTTCGTTTGACTTTAAGTTTGAAGAAGATATTTTTCTTCCCCATATTTCCTTTTTTATTTATTTATTTATATATTGACTATGTGCTTCCTCCATCTCATAAAGATTTCTCAAGCTTGGCATTACTTTTCTTTTTGTGATGTTTCAAAATTTTCTTTCTATTTCCTTTTATTTGATGGTTCGTGTGGTTGATACTTTTTCTCTTCTTTTACATTAACTGTAATCACACAATTCCACTTTTTTAATATGTGTGTCAAATCAAGCTAGGAAGAAAATTTTGGATGGAGGATGTAATATTTATCACTTTATGTTAAAAGGTTGGAAGTGATATACATGTATCCTTTGTTGGCACTCATAAAACTACAAAAATACTAAACTCTTAATTTTCACTAAAATATACTCCGTATTAACTAACAATAATAGTCAAAGTGAAAATTCATTGACTAAAAAATCAAACATTGCAGACCTTTCTGGGATGGACAGAGTAGTACTATTTTGGTTAGGGTATTTGAAACAGATAGGAGGCTATTTAAAGCGTTCATGCCAATGTCCTCTCTATCAACTAGTGGAGTTTACCTTTTCATATACTATCTCTGTTCTTTAAATAAGCGCGACATGTTGAATTTTACACTATTCACATGTTCTACTCTGACTATATTTTATTTGTTAATGCTTAAAGAACTTTTTTTTTAAATCTATCTCACTGTCAATCATCAACCATCATTTACCCCGGTGCCGCAAAGGCTCCCACCTACGGTGGGGTAAGGGGGGGGGGTCGGATGTACGCAGTCTTACCCCTGCACTAAAGCATAGAGAGACTGCTTCCGGATGACCCATAGTTAAAATCGCGTCCAAAAATTGCATGGACTGATTGCTTCTTCATAACAAAGAAGCGCAGACAGTTTGGTGAGTCATTTTGCTTTATTCCATCATATTCTCAAGCCAAAAAATAATGAATCTTTGGCTCCATTGCAAATGATGGAAATCTATCTCATTGTAAATTTTCAAAATCCGACTGTTTTATTTTTTTTCTATTAGAGAACTAAATATATTAATGGTCAAAGTTGTGTGTTGGCAAACATGAAAAAGAAAATGTGGCACTTAAAAGAGAACGGAGGTAGTAGCTCCAGACATGTCCTTGATGCTGTGTATATTCATTTTGACCTCTAAGTTGTACTGTCCTAGGGCTTTGTCATTTAATTCTTCTTATACCCCTCCCTATCTCCCATTATTTGGATGCTGATATGTCAACAATCACAAAAATTGATTTACCTGCTTGTTCTTGTAAAATTTGTTCCTAATGTCCGCATCCTGCATGCTTACCTAAGTACTTCGGTACTTCCTCGTGGAGTATTCAAAGAAATTATGGCCACATCCTTTTAGCTGAATAAAATAATTTCAGTATTAGATATTGAAGAGCTGCATTGGCTTTCTCTCTTGTTGCTGCATACATTTAGCTATGGGGTCACAAGAACACAGAATACATTGCTGGTGCTGCTTTGCACATGTTGATCAGGAACCAAGTGCTAGATATATGGGACTCTTAATTTGATGGACACTTTCTAGAAATAAAAAAACTGCAATTCTTTTTCATGCCTTGTGTGTGTAAACACTAGCGACCAAGTGCACATCTCATAAATTCATCGATGAGAACTACTCGTGTTGTACTAACGTGGAAGGAAATGTATGTTTATTTTTTGGGTAGGAATACAAACGAGTAAAGGGTCAGTTTGGTCCTCGAAGTTGCAAAAAAGGGGTCAAATAAGTCCTTATACAGAAGATTCTGTCCGGACGTGCCATTTGAGGTGGCTCCCGATCGAATTTTTTGATGAAATTTTTTGAGCATCTTATTCATTAAGTCTAGTTTACTCATACCAAATTTCAGCTAACAATTCAATCGGGGAGACATTCAAATGAACTCTTGAAGATAACTGCGCTTTTAACGGCACAGTTATCTTCAAGAATTCATTTGAATGTCTTCCCGATTGAATTTTTATTTGAAATTTGGTATGAGTAAACTAGACTTAATGAATAAGATGCAAAAAAAATTTCATCAAAAAATTCCACCGGAAGCCACCTCAAATGGCACGTCCGGACAGAATTTTCTATATAAGGACTTATTTGACCCCTTTTTTGCAATGAATTAATTCATGTAACATGCTTTGTGGAAATTGAGTAGTAGGAGTAATAACTCTTGCAGACATGTGAACAATAATTTACTCTTAATTTATAAGTTATAGAACCCTTTTACTTTTGTTTCAGCTTTCAACTTTGTGTGTCTGTGTACCACATTTACTTATGAGTGTACTATAATGCACATTTACATTAATATATTATGAATGCACTTTAATATTTAATGCTTAATTAATTTTAAAGCATCCATCACTTCGAAGTGCAATATGCAGTTTGCTTTAACTATGTCTCTTGCATCTGTTTCAGGAGAAGAGCAAAGAGAAAAGACATAAAAAGGAGAAGAAGGATAAAGAGAAGGGAGAAGGTAAAGAAAAAAGGGATAAGGATAGAAGGGAGGGGAAACACAAAGAAAAGAAAGACAGAAAAGATAAACAAAAGGACAAGAAGGAAAAGAGTAGAGACAAGAAAAGGGACAGAGAGAACAAAAGCAAAAATAAAGATAAAAAAAGTGTCCGTGAGGAAGCATCGGCTGTTGGTCATCCTGGAGCTTTTTCTACTGCAGAAGAACCTGATAAGAATGTCATTAATTTGGATGAGAAGAAAAACTCTGTTCAACACAGACAGAAGGCCATCGAAAGCAGATTCGGTCTTAATGGAGAGGCAGAGGAGTTGAAATTTGTGCAGGAGTTGGCTAGAAGGATCAAAGATGAAGAAAACGGAAAAGGAATCCAGTTGGCGGGAAGATGCTCTGGTGAGGGGCAGAAGGAAGAGAGAATCGGCAAGGTGGTTGGGGTCAAGGTATCTAGAAGTTTGGCTGAAGACTTGGGAAGTAACATAGAGAGGAGTGGTGTTCATGATAGAAAGCTGGGTAGAGGGGTCAGAGTTGACGAAAATGGAAAAGGAATCCTGTTGGCGGGAAGATTCTCTGTTGAGGGGAAGAAGGATGAAAGAATGGACAGGGTGCTTGGCGGCAAGGTTTCTAGAACTTTGGCTGAAGATTGTGGGACCAACATGGAAAGGAGTGGTGTTGATGACAGGAAGATGGATGTCTTGCAAGCAACCATGAATGAATCTAGACTTGGGAGTAATGCATTTGTCGCCCCTAACATCTATAGGTCCAACGATAATAAAGTCGAAGGGATGCCCATGGCTTCTGGGGTCAAAGGGAATTCATTGAATTTTACTGAAAATAAGGTTGCATACACGGAGAAGAGTTTGGATTGCAGGGGGATAGATTCACATGCTACCCAAAGTGAATCTAGACAAAGTGGAAACACAATGCTCCCCAACATCACAGTGCTTGGCAAAAGTATGTTCGAAGGAATGCATAGACCGCAGGAAGAGAATAACAAAAGGAAAGAGGAAAAAGAGAAAACTAAAGAAAGAGGTGATGGAAAGTCGGGAGAAAAAGGAAAGGATAAAGGTAGAGATAAGAAGGAGAAGGATAGAGATAAGAAAAGGCACAAGAAGAGCAAAGACCGGGAAAAAGAGAAGAAAAAGGAGAAGTCGAAGGAGAAAAGTGAGCATGATAAACTTCAAAACATTAGGAGCAATACAACTTCAGAACTTTCAAGGGATAACGATGCTGGTGCTGCTTTTGATGTAAATCTAAAAAAAAGAAAGCTTGTTCCAAATGGTTTTGTACATGGTGAGTTCTGGTCCCTGATTACCTTGAAAGCTGCTATTTGTTGTTCACTTCCTCCATACATAAATGATGCTTGGAAAGGATGTTATTGCTCTTTTCTGTTCTACTTCCTGCCAGAATTCATTTTCAATATGCAATATGTTTCTTGTTAAAGTTCTTAGTCAGGCAATTTCCATGTTTGCAATGAACATATTATATTCAGCTCTACTTGACCCTTTTGTTTGGCGGACTGATAGTGCTGCCCATGTGTTTGTCTTTCTTTCCTTGCAGATGACGAAGCTAGGCCTGCTAAAATACTCAAGCCTGCTTCTCATGGGCCAATACAGAATGGAAATAAAGTTGAAACTCTCCATGTTCCTGTCAATTCAAACATTCCAAGCGTTTCTGAGATTAAGGTGGCTAATAAGACGCAGAAGATGAATGGTGCAGTAGATGGTCAGCCATCAGTGTCTATTCCTAGACCAAAGCTTTCGCCTCCTCCTACTAGTATTGGTCAAATTGCTGAACCATCTCTAACACCTCCACTTGCTGATCAATTTGTCGAAACAACTGGGAGAACTCCTCCAGTTGATCATACTGCCAAGGCAGTTGGCAGACTTCCTTTTTCTGATCAAAATGCCGAAACACTTGGCAAACTTCCTATTTCCAAAACGCTTGTCAAACCTCCATTTTCCAAAACACCTGTCAAGCCTCCTCAAGCTTATCAAACTGCTGAAACAATTGGTAGACCTCCTTGTGCTGATCACACTGCCGAAACACTTGGCAAACTTCCCTTTTCCAAAACATCTGTGAAACCACCTCAAGCTTGTCAAATTGCTGAAACACTTGGGATACCACCTTCTGCTGATCAAATTGTTGAAAAACCTCTCCATGCTGATAAAATTGCTGAAGTGCGTCGGAAACCTCCTAGTGCTGCTATATTTGCTGAAGTGTCCAAGAAACCTTCTCATATCAATGTAGTTGTTGAAGCACCAAAGAGGTCTCCTCATCCTGATGTCAAGTATCTGAACCAGATTCTCACTGTTCCTAAAATGGAAGAGTGGGTTGAATGCGATGATGACAACGAATGGTTGTTTGGAAGCAAAGATCCTTCAGAGAAGAAGTCAGGGGTGGGTTCCAATGTGATCAATGAGGAGCTGCAAGTATGGTCCGAAGCTCGGTATATAGAATCTACAGATATTTATGCTCTGCCATATGTAATTCCTTATTGAGCCCTCTTGGAATTTGGTGCAATCCTATGGGTGAGGTCATCAAATGTGACTTGTCACATATTCATAACCATCATCAGGCCTGGGCATGAGTATATGCTGGGATTTCGGTTGCATTGTTTTTGCTTGTGTTCTCGAATTTTGGGGAAGTTTTGCCTCAAGTAGAACACAAAATTGATTCAGAGGGGATTTTTCCCAAGGCACACCAAGGTTGACATCAAAGTTGTCCACAATCTTATGCAAGTTGATTCATTTAGTGTAAAGCTCAGAGGCTCCTTTCTAATTGAGTGTGAGAGGAAGTTGAGCTTTGTGGACTTTACACCTCCAGAAAATTTTGATTTGTAACATAGAACTCTTTATAGATGTAAAATAGAGAAAAATGAAAGCAGTTATTCCAATTTATTTATTTCTGCTTGTGTCCGAGGCTCTGTTTGAATGGGCATGTGGCAAGTCCGAATTTTTACACTGTCTTCTCACTTACAGTCTAAGCACAGTTTGAAGTTGGCTGTGTTGGAATGTGGTTGCAATTTGGTTGGGCTTTCACTGCAACTGTTTCGGGATTATTACTCAGGTGCGAGGCACCAAAAGTGAGGGAATACTGGTTTTCTTCCTCTCCTTTTATGCCTGTGAATTGGCAGAAAATTTTTAAAATCACATTTTTTTTGCCTCACCAAAACTGTTTTTCTTCCCCTTTTATGCTTGTGAATTTCAATATCATCATCCTTATCATAATACCCGTTAACCAATTTTTTGTTCATTAAAATTTCGATTTATAATTTATCGGTTTAACAAAAGAATCATGGAAAATTTAGATAATTCACAAATGTCTAATTAACTTTACAAATAAATACACATTGTACATCCTATCCTACACAACTTTTAAAATTTCCCTGTGACGATCGTATATTTTTATTGATTTTTTTTTATACAGTTCTAAACACCGTTTTATTTAGAGCATCTCCAATAGAGATGTGAATTGCATCATGTATACGGGTGAAGTAGAGTTGAGAGCAGTTTCTCTCACTAGAATCAGTCTAGGTCTCTACTACTTCCGGCGACGCCACTCGCGGCGGCAGCCGCCGCCGAAGCCCTCCTGGCTCCGGTGGGCTTAAAGCTTGGTGGTCTAGAATTTTGGAAAATGGGTCTTCGGAGCTCAGACTGTCTTTGGGTGGAATGATTCGAGTGAATTAAGCTGGAGGATGCTCGTTCGAAGTACCAAGGAAGCTACTGCACCTGTCCAGTAACTACGTGATGGCTTGAGAAAGGCTGGAACGTCAGCGAACGGAGGTTAGGTGCTCCTCAGCGACAGAAAACGAGTGGAATCAGCAGGTGTTTAATGGAAGGTCTGAACTTGGTAAGTTCGATTCTCATTCTTCGTCCTGTCTTCTCTCCTCCATTTTCTTGGTTAGAATGGCCGGGTTGCCACTGGACCTTAGACCGATGGGGCTCCGCTGCGTCTCTGCTCCCCGTTGGTCATGGTTTTCTCTGATGTTTGTGGGAGGGATGGGTGTAACCTCCTGTAGACTAGCCATGGTGAAACCTTTGATGAGGACATTGTTTTGTCTTGCTTGACCCACTTGTTAGTAACCATGGTGAACGGAGCTTTCTATACCAAGGACTGGTCTGTTATCGGAGCTCTAACAGTAGGTCTCCGTTCCGTTTCTTGCTTCCGATACTCGTCCATGGGTGAAAACCTCTGGCCTTGCAGCAAGCCATTCGTGGCTGAGGTTGGGTTTGGACTGGTTGTATATGGGTTCTACAGGTGTCGGAATGCTCCCTCTCTAGCTGCTGCCTAAGAGTACCAGGGAATCACAGAGGATGGGATGTTTTGTGAGTTTTTGTGTGTGCCGGAGGTTTAGCTGAGTTTACTGTCGAGATTCTCCGGTTTGGTCAGAGAAGGTGATCGGAAAAGTTTGGAAGATTGTAGATTCCGGCTACTGTCATTCCGCCTCACGAAGCCGTCTACCAATGCCGTTGGGGGTCGCCGGGGCCCAACGGGGGTGGGGTGGAATGGGGAACTTCGGTTTGGCTTGGTTACTGTTCCGGCTTGCCCTCTAGTCGCCAGAAAACCTGAGGTCGCTGGATCAGGTGGGGTGGCTGTGACAAGGGGGTGGGTTACGAGTGATGGACAGGCGGATACCTCGAATGGACAGCCTGTCACTGTTCATGGTTGACCGGATTTGAATTTCAAATCCAGATTGAAATGCCTGATGCGGCGTTGGTCGATGCGATGATGGGCTGGGCGTAACCCTAGCTCGCTCGCTGGGAATGGGTCTTGGATGCGATTTGGGCTTCGCTGTACTGTGCTGCTGGACTACTTGTGTATGGAAGGGGCCGGTTCTTGATGCAGGGAAAGGCTGTTCATTGGGCCTGGACTGCTGGATTTTCATTTTTGGACTTTTTGATGAATGAGTCGGGGCCTGTCCCGTGCCAATCTTGGACTGTTTTGTGATGTCCATAGGACTTCCAAAAAAATTCCTGCCGCAAGGTGGGGGTGGGGGGCAAATACGGTACATACTATTTTAGGTTAACATGCTAACTTAGATAGTTTGTGATACTTTTTGATGCATTGTACTATGCTATTTTCTGGATATATATATACTTATATTTTATCCAAAAAAAAGTGAATTGCATCATGTAAAAAGTGTACATGTGGGGTATATGAATAGCCTGTGAAGTTGATGTGGAAGCACCGACACTTTGCAATCAAATTTTATCTCCATTGAAGTCAACTTTCTTCTATTCTCTATGCAAAGCAATACGATGAATTAATTTTCATATACATAGTACACATTAGGGGTGGGTTCGGTTCTTGCGGTTCGGTTTTGACCTAAAACCAAATATAGAATCGAAGTAAAAAGTTCGGTTCGGTTTCGGTTCGGTTGTACACTCCAAAACTTGGAACCACGGTTTGATTGGTTCGGTTTGTTTCGGTTCGGTTTTTTACCAAAAAATTCTCACTTGATTTAAAATTGATATAATACTTAGAGTGATCAAACATATTACATAAAGAAAGCAAGCACAATACAATAACAAATAAAATAAAAATGAGAAGAGGTAAATATGTCTTGAATTATATGAGTATGCGAGATAGATAAAACTGTATATATTATTGATTTAATTTGTTTGTGAGTAGTTCGAAAAAAGTTCATGAATATATACGTTATATTTGATATAGTTGAGATGAATATTTATTGTTTTATCAATACAAAATCTTTAAGTTATCTAAAATTAAAAGTTAATTACTACTAATAACTAGTAAACACATATTATCATCATTTAATAACTATACCGAAAAAAGTCGATTAGACCCTCGTACTTTACAAACACTCAATTAAGTCCTCGAAGTATTATAAACCGTTCAATTAAGCCTTTTCGATCGGTAAGTAACTGGTTTCCCAGTTAAATGTAACCCGTTTCCCGGCAGCCGCCGTTGCTGGGGTTTGAGCACTTCGTCGTCGTCGTCGTCGTCGCCGTTTAATCGGGAAACCGGTTACTTACCGACCGAAAGGGCTTAATTGAATGTTTTTTAATAGTTCGAGGACTTAATTAGATGTTTGTAAAGTACGAGTGCCTAATCGACTTTTTTGACATAGTACTGGAGCTTTTTTGATAGTTTTCCCAAAAATCTCTTTCCTTCTCCCTTGACACCGAAATCTAGTTGGTGTTGAACAAAACTCATTCAGCATGACTTTTCACATGAGTTCTTTCACACGGTTTATGTTGTCAGTTTGTCACATTCCTGCTTTTAATTAATAAAAGTACTGTACGATTCAATTGTATTAAACTTGTTTTTTTGACAAAAAATGTACTACCTCCGTCCCAAAAAGAGTTGCAAATTTGACTTTTCTTAGTCAAACAGCCTCGTTTTGTTCATTTAATTAGGATGTCAATTTTTAATTATTTTCTAATTTGGAGTTTACAACTTTGAAGAGATTTTAATGTAGTTTTTGAATATGTAAATTTTAATTATTAAAAATTGATATAACTATACATAGGGAGGGTTGACTTTTATTATTGGTTGACCAAAAAATGTTGAATTTGCAAAACAAATTGGGACGGAGTGAGTATTAAACTTATTGCATGTGAGCACAGTTGTATGATACTCCGTATAAATAACTGATCGAATAAGTATTAACTTCATCTAGCAATGCTAATATACCTATGGCGATCGAGCTGAAGGTCTAAAAAACTCATTGGTTGACGATTGAAGTCCTTTTGTTTTTAGCCTCCCTTTTTGTTACACACTATATCCCACTATTAACTTAGTATCATCTTATCCATTTTACTTGCCCATCAATATAATTTGATCACTTTCAAATGCATATGAAATTAATACGTATTAATAAAACTATGACTACAATATCATTATATCAATTGATGATATGATTAGGCATCCACATCTATATATAGAATTGTTTTAGGATCGAGTAGATGACGTGGTAGATTACTTTGAGGATTATGGATGATGAGTAGGACTGGACATGAAAAATCGTAACCGATTAACCATACTAAATAATTGAAAAACCGGGGTTCTTCCCGGTTAACCATACCGTACCGTGTTATTAAAAATTCACGGTACGGTTAACCAACTGAAAGAAACAACGGTACACGAGACTGTTACGGTTTTGAAACTAAACTACCACCGATTAACCGGCAATCTAAATATTACATCTAAACTAATGTCAGTCGTCACTCAGTCAAGTATTGCGCCACTCGGTGGGTCTGGGAATGACAACATGTGCATTAAACCATTAATGTTAGAGTCGAGCAAAAAGTGGTGGTTTATTGGAATTGGAGCTATCTTATTGTTATTAATACTATTAGTTACGTACTCCGTATTAATTAATTAATTTGTCATACGGCACTGTCACAATTGAGGCATGTCTTGGAACCCTATATATGCAACGCTTCAGTGCGTAATACGGAGTACCAGTTTCCCCTACAGGGAGTACGTTTTTTAGTTAAATCGGGTGTTTTTATCTAATTCTCATCCCACTTCCCTTCAAACATTAAAAAAAATAAATTATAAAAAAAAGAGTAATACAAAATACATGGGAAAACCTTCTACGGGAGCCTATATGGGATTTGTTGGAGGTATTGGTAGGACCAATACCTCACAACCGCTGTTGGGTGTGTATTTCAGCTCAGGTCTCCAACCAGAACAACTCACACACAACACCCAAGATTGTTTAGCCACTCCACTCACCTAGTTCTAGCCTTTTCTTTCTTACCTCTCAAGCTTTCACTCACCAAGAGGAAACTCTCTCAAAGAAGAAGACTCAAGCCAAACTCTCACTCACACCTCACTGTATTGTCCGCACCGCACACTCCAGAAAGAAGCTGCTAGCTTGTTAATATAATTAAGGAAATGTCCTCAATTATCAAGGTAGGGAATACAAGACAAAACACCAACAGACAGGCTGCAATGGATAGGTAAGGCCACAGACCCAAAAACTGAATTATTAGGAGGCAACGATAATACAACTG